TTTGAACTGCACTGACCGGTTTTGACAGGTTCTTGGCATGACCGTATCTCATTCGTGTGCCTCAAGTACTCATGGTCATTAATCTCGAGAAGAAAATTTGGGTTGCCAACCTATGCTCTATATAATTTATTTCATTATATTTCTCATTAGGTTAGTTGCATACATTAACATAGAATAATTATATATTTACACTTTAGATAAAGGATAGTGTAAGAATTTATTAGGTCTGCGAAGAATATCCATTGCAGGGGCATTTTCCAAAATGCTTTAAGTTCTCCTATCGAGAAGTGAAAGTTTAGACTTTTGTTCCTCAGTTCTTGAATTTTAGAGACTTGACTATTTGAATGCTAAATGCATTTTAAAAGTGACCATCTTTACCTTAAGGGTATATTTGGTTCTCTGATTTCGCTAAGGAAATGGGATTCTTTTTACTATAAAATTTATTTTATTATGATTGATGTTACCCGTTGAAATGAAAAGGAAAGTCTTAGATTATAAGGGTGTCTAAATGACACAACTCACGTGTTCAACCATTGTGTTCTGACACAATCTAAAGTCTTCTTTTAAATGAAAGGTAACATGAAAGCAATTGATATATTATAAGCTTCAAATGCACTCCTACTTTGATGATAGCTAGACATGTGGCTGACATTATTTTATACATGCATAGAAATTTATACATTCTATAGTTTAGGTACACACATAGTAATTGCAATCATAATCAAAAGTGATGTGTTTCTCGCAAGTTTTCAATATGCACACTTAAAGAGAGGACCAGATCTAACTTATTTCCTAAGTCTTTGAGGGTGTGTTTGGTTCAAAAGAGAAGATTTTCTTCGCCTTTTTGCAGTTAAATTTGGTTTTCCCTTACTTTGATGAGTACTCGTTGACATAATTAAACATAGAATGGAAGAAAATATTTAGTCATGTAATTATGTTATTTACACTGAATGATTTATGGACCAAAGTTCAAGATCTCTTCGCATACTGTTTATCCCAAAGGAACCAGACTTTTTCTGGCTTAAACTGTCATTAGTGTTGCAATTATGATTAATAGATTTTACTTTTATTAATATAGGTTTATAGAAAGAATGGTACTGCTAGAATGAAACTTTGGTGGGAGCTGTTAGCAAGATTTGACAAGGTAAGCTACTAACACATCATGGCTACAACTAATGATTTCAATTATAAGCATATTTAGATTTCCATGTAAGAGGAATATATATGTGCATTGCAAATATGTTTAGCCGGATGATTAAATGATAGTACTCTAAAAGAGTACTTCGATAGACATGGAATTGGAACAAATTAATGTAACTTTTATGTGTTGGCACACCAAAAGCACATGTTGTTTTTCCATATACCTAGCTAAAATAGTTACTTTCTGTCACTTTATACTGAGGTATTTTCCAGGTGAAAAAAATTGCTAGCAACTTCAAGTTTTACTCTAATAAAACTTGAATTCAAAAGTGAAGCTAAAACTTTAGGAAACTCGTTATATTTTAAAACCAAGAGTTTTTTATCATATAACTCACTCACATATATGAATATACTTTCAAAGATAATTTTGAAAGTTGTGGAATTTTACACATCAGTTGGTGCATTTGAGTGGAATATTACTCTATTTGGCTTTTCAAGCAGAGGAAAATACTTCCATTATTTTATACAAGTGGTTTGAGATTTTAAGGCACTTATAAAACATAGTATCATTCTCTTTTATGGGTTCATATCAAGACAACACACGACAACAAAATATTTGAAGCATTTAATGAAAGAAAAGTAGGTTCAACATGTTATGTTTTTTGCTTCCTTTCTTTTCATGTGCTCTACAATTTGGTCAATTGCTGCACGTGCTTTGACAGCATTTTTAAAAATGGGTTACTGGCAGAAGAATATAATCTCAAGGTCATACTCTTACTCCTACTTGATAACAACAAATGTTTAATTTCTTTGTTTGTTCTAAGGTGTGATTTCTCCTGACCATGTACTACCTATAATTATAAAACTTTTAACTTCTACTGATCGGGCAGTATGAGTTAGTCTACTATAACATGATGATCAATATGGGTAGTCATTATCGTCACAAATTGTTGATGAAAAAGTATTGAAATAAGCAAATACGGGTCAATATAGACACATTTTATTTGTAAACAACAATGAAAATATTGATGCTCATCACATTATTTTTGGTTACGTTTACACTCATGCTGAAACATCTTCTTTTCTTTGGGAGTTGACTCTTAAGTCTATGTTGGGTTGGCACCTAAGCTATGTGAATAATGTAATCCATTCATTCTCTATTTATATAACCTTCATTTGGAGTTGGCATGCTTTTGCTGAAAATAAAGGAGACATTTGTTGTTTTACTAATTTAACCTTATTAATAAGAGAACAAATGTAATATGGGCCACACAAAAAGTAAAAGGATGGAATGATAGATGGATGTAAAAATTCAATGAGATTTAAATAAGGAAATACTCCCAACATCTTTAGCAGAAGAATAATCTCAAGGTCATACTCTTAATCCTACTTGATAACAGCAGATTGTTTATTCTAAACTGCGATTTCTCCTGTCCATATGTACTACCTTTAATTGTAAAACATTTAACTTCTAATGATCGGGAAATATGAGTTAGTCTACTGCAACATGTTGATCAATTTGGGTAGTCATTATTGCCAAAAAATGTTGATGAAAAATTATTGAAATAAGGTTCAATATATACACATGTTCTATTAGATTCGGTGTTGGTAACTTTTAATTCGTTCATTGAATAAATATTCACTTTTGTTTGCTAGGCAATTAAAACTTTCAGAGGTGGCCCCGAATCAAGAGTTGAAGGCCTCGAGATTGGAATAATCATATACTTGCCATAGGTGGGATGGATAGTGTGCTTTTCGAGAATGAGATCTAGGTGAGATCACATATACGATACATCATGGACTGCCTTCCCTTTTTCCAACTCCACCCCCTCAAAACACACTTCCATGCAGTGATAGGGAAAAAACACAAAAGTTAGCATTGGATAAATGGGGTGGAAAACCTGATGTATTTGTGGGCTGAGCATAGGTTTCTTAAGGATCTCAAATGCGCTGAGTATCAAAGCATTACCCCTGATGCATTTGTGTTAAACAGGTATGCCCCGATGCATTGTATGTATATATTCTGTATGCGTACTTTGTATTGACTCATTGGTTAATAATTTCCATCTTACCTTTGAACCATGCACAAGAAGCTACAAAATAATGAAAAACTAATTCCAAGAACAAAGGATGCATGCCACTTCTTATTTATTGCTAGGGATATTATTTCTCCACAATTTGTATTATTGTTACCATTAATCTTATTTAGTTTTTTCATTGGTTTACAATATGACTTTCACATATTTCTAACCCTAATTTTAAGACAATATTTAGAAAATATTTAATATTTTTGTTAAATATTCAAACAATATTTTTATAAAATATTTATAAAATGGTTAATAATGGGTAAACAATATTTTATAAAATTTTCAAAGTATTCACAACAACAAAAAATCTTGCAAAAAACATGATAGGGCATTTAAACTCGCGCAACGCGCGTGCAATTGCTAGTGTGTGTGTGTGTGTGATATTAATAATATTACGAAAATATGAATAGAAAAGAAAACTTCCAAAAATAATTGTTATATTCATTATTTTATAAAACAAAACTAAATACATAAACAAATTTAAAAAAGAGTAAATTTCATAAAAGGTCCCAGTTATAGGTCGTTTTACATATTTAGTCCCTATATGTCAAATATTACTAATTTAGTCCCCAATTATTATATCATTTTTCACGAATGGTCTTTCGTTAACGTTTTTGTTAAGAACATAGATAAAATTATACATTCCTATTTATCTCCCTCATCAATTAAGCTTCCTCCCATGTCACTGTATAGTGTGAAAAAGAAAACAATATGCAAAGAAACACTTTAATGGTGAAGCTAGCTACCACATATCCTCCTTTCTTTCCACTAAAACGGTGTGAAAAAATGCAGCTGGCCACCGCCTACCCATACCCACAATGAACGAAATGAGGAAACCCATTCCACCCCACACACAACTGTCATTTGTTAATGCCCACACTCGCTTGAGTCGCTTCCATAGTTCCATTCCAAATTAAATTAGACTACTATTCAATTACCCACAGAAAGAATACAAAGTTCCAATATACCAAATTGCAAAAGAACAAAATTTCCAAGATCTAAAAGGATGGGAGCAACGGTGTATGTGGGACAGCGTGATGGTGATTGGGGGGCTCTGGCGCCAGTGGGAGTGGAGGAAAGAATGGGAGAGAAGCAGGGGAGTACAGTGGCGGAAACAGTATAAAGTGTATTTAAATTACTTGAAGTTCGATAAATTAACGTAACACGAAAATTTAAAGTGATGGGATTAACCCGATCAGATGGCGGACCAAGAACGTAATATGAATTGGAAAGATATATTCACTCAATAATATTCTTTAATTAAGTGTATAATTGCTTGGGTTGTCTCCTCCTTTTACAATGGCGGGTTCTTTCCCCTTTTATAGTACTTCTAATTTCTCAATTAAAATTATACATACTGGGAGGAATTATGGAGATCATGGGGTTGTGATTCCTCCTTTTCCGGTCTCGTTCCTTTCCCATTTCGCCCACAATCTGGTGGTGTGGGCCACGTGTGCTATTTCTCTCTTGGACTGGATCATCCCAATTCGGCCCATGATAGGGCCGTTTGTTTCGTCTCTTCACAAGCACCTTGGTGGGCTCGATCCGTCCGTTATCCGTACTTGGAACTGTCCACTTTGCACGACTGTGGGCCCTTATCGGGCCTGGAGTCGGGCATCAGACCCGATATCCATCATAAAGCATATGATTTTCAATGATCTATTATATATATAAGAGTAGAATCAAAATTGAACCAATTTCAATCCAATTTTCGCTCTAATCTAATGATCCAATTCCATTTGCAATTGGCAAATCCGACCATCAATTACCAAGGCCAACTCCAAACTCGACGGGATTCTTCTTGGAGAAGGACATTTGCGGTTTCTCCTCCGCTTCAATCATCATCTTTTCATTCAATATCCATGCAGATCTGCGCCAACTCCACCATCCAATCTCCAATTCTCTTTCCCTCCTCATGCCTTGATCATGCGCTGCCCAATCCATCGTCCATATATGATAGGTCAAATTCATCTCCTTCTCCACATTTCAATTTAATTTTGGTTTATCATTTACATAGATATGTGGGATTTGAGAGTATGTTTGCTGGTGCAATGAAATTATGTTACCAAAACATCATGGTAATTGCACAAATGAATTTTTTTTACAATTTGGGATAAATATATTTTGACAAATGCTATGCCTAAATTGAGATACGATTGCACAGATGGAGGCCTTCGCTTCAAAATGGTTTTACCATAAATTCTAGAGACCCAATCCTAGGTATGAACTCAACGCCTGATGGGAAAAAAACAAAGAGATTGTTAAGGGATATACTTGAATGATCTGTCCTCACCTTTCAGTGTAAGAAAACTAAGGAAACAAATGCATTTGTGGCTTTTATCTATGTGCGAAGACCCTTTTTCCTATGTGCATGTCCAAAGTTTCAAGGTTTGATGAGTGTTTATAAAGAATTTATCAAAAGTTTTTTTATGTACTGAGTCCCTTTATTCCAATGGCTTTTATGTAAATATCTTGACAAAATATGCATGTCAAGTGTTTGACTAATTGTCTCTAACAAGTTTATGTATGCACTAAAAATTGAATATTTGCACCGGAGCTCATGATCAAGGTTTCAAAGTTTCCTTTTATGCATGCACTAAGACCATTTTTCATCTATTTTTTTCATTTATGTTTGATCGAGTGTTTTTCGCATATATGTATGCCATTTTTTTAAAGTGGCTATGGAAGGACGATATGTTTGAGTGCGAATTGATTACACATTTGCAACAACAATCACACCATTGCTGCCACCATTACAAGAGCTAATGTCATATCTACGGTTGATTGGATGTGCAATTAATAAGAATTGTTTATTTAGCCAAAACAGCAGAAATACATAAAATTAGTAAGGGTCTGTATTGATTGTAGTTCTTATAACACATAGCTGATTGATTCTATTAATCATTTGTTTAAAGGTTATTCATTTCTCTTTTGCAGATTGTTAAGCCCCGATCTGTTTAGGCTGAAAGCATTTTGGGAATGTTGGGAATTTTCAGATTGTATGTTTTCTTATCATCGTGTTTCCTCATTCATTTTCTGTTTGCTCTTAATATCTCGATGTAAGTCACGTGTGTTGTTTCCACGACTCCATTGTTTAGCATTTGTTTGATTTGTATACATTCTCATACCTTTCATTGCTTTTCACTTCAGACAACATGCCCATCTGCAATGATGGTTGTGTTGATCTAAGTGTGTACAAATTAGAATTTAATATATAATCACTTTTAGAACTCTGTTTCTGCATGCATTGATACATTGAATTTTCACTGGGGATTAATAATTGGTCATTCAAGGACTAATTCTTTGCTTCTGAATTGCTATTAAGTTATATCTGTCATGCTTCTCATCAGGAATGAGATGCTCTGATGCTATCCAATTTTGCATTGGAGAGCCACTTCCATAATGCAAGGCAAGAGTTAAGCCATGCACTATATATCGGGTAACTATTTCCATTTAAAATATCAAAAGTAATGGTACTTTTTATTACACCCTTCGTTCAATTTAAATTGCGTGTTTCGGTTTATTATGTTTGACTAAAATTATTTTCAATTTATTTTATATGAAATTCGGTATGGAATTTAAAAATAGAATTTATATGCTCCCTCCGTCCCAGTTTATTTGTCCAATTTGACTTTTTCAAGTCAAATTGGACAAAATTTGAGTTTCAATTAAATAAATACCGTAATGTATTTTAACATAAAAATGACTTTATTAGATTTATTGTATTAAGAACTTTCAAAATTGTATTTAATTATGTTAATATGAAATATAGATTGAGAGTAATTGGAGTTCAAAGTTTGTCCAGTTTGACACGAAAAAGTCACACTGGACGGGACAGAGGTAGTAAAGTTCTATAAAACAAAAGGTGGCACGATAATATTATTTTATCAAATGAGTTTCGAAAATGAGTAATGAAAATTGTTAAAGTACGTAATTTGTAATATGAGATGTAGCGACAGATGAATTATTTTGTAATATGACATGTTAGAGTAATTTGTGTTCGGTTTGTCAATAAAATGTAGCGACTCTCAAATTTGTATGACTGCATGTTATAGTGTTATACTGTTATGACTCTAATATTTAACGATTTTCTCCCCCTTTGTTGTTTTGCTGATATTATTGTCAAATCAATGTTGAGGAAAAAGTGCGGAGTTGATGTTAAGAGATAAAAAATGAAATGAGTTCTGATCATTAAAAATAAAAAAAGTTATATAATCATTTAATTTTAATTTATATATTTACTAAATGTGTGTGGGATTAAACTGTAATCATGTTTCTCTCTCATCAATTCACTTTTCAACTTAAATTAGGCAGCACATCTCTTGATTTGCATTAGGAGATGTTGCATTGCAATTTCCTATGAATGATTCATGTTTATTTTTTAGTGCTATGTGAATGGATACAAAGTACGGAGTAAGTATTAAGATTGAGTTTTACTGAATTATTCTTTATCATTTATCTTAAAATATAATGTACTCTTAGACACTATTCAATATTAAAGGTTAAAATTTAGTAATTTAAATTTACTAAATTAATCCAAATTATGGAACTAATACATTTCACTGCATTGCACGAGTGAGGCATTACATTATGCAGTGACCATTCAAAAAAATTATCACAAGTTCATGGATAGAAAACGGGCCATTTTTGTAATTGTGACCTTATTGCTCCGTCATTATCGAATAGACGTCACATAATTTGTAACCTTGAGCCTTAATAATGGTTTTTTTTGTGACAACCCCTTAAATCTTACCTAAAATGTTATACAGTATTTAGGTATTGAAAACAAATATTCATGTTAAAATTAGTTTCATTTTTAAAAGGTTAAATTTCTCATATACAAGAAAATATAATGGCGATAAAGAAATATTAAAGAGTACTACTCAAAGATGCTTATTCAAAAAGTTTTGGATAGAAAAGTAATATGAAAAAATTCTTAGGGATTGCATTATGAATTGAAAGAATTCTCCAAAATTGATTAAGAAATGGAAGAATTTTCAAAAAAATATGTTCTTTAATGTGAGCATTGTTCTTTAAATTTATAATGAAAGATGCATATTTACATATGGAGACATTTTTCTATTGAACGATACCACACATTGTTTCTACCTAAATTCATATTTTTAGATAGTATTTAATTTAAAATTCAAAAAAAGTGATTAAAATTTAAAAAAAGTAATTACAATTTAGGAGCAGTATATTTCACTTTAAAGTTGTTGGAATAAAAAGTTTAAAAAACATCAATTTTAAGTGATATCTTGAATTATGGAGAAATTACATTCTCTTGCACTGCATTAACTAAGATTTTATGAATGAAATGAAGAATAAAAAACGAAGCGACTAATAAATACAGATGACTCCATTGTTTGTAGTTATTATAAGGTTAACTTTCAATAGATATTGTGATTGATTTAGTTTATATAGGATGGAGATTGCAATGAATCACAAAATTAATATATGTTCATTTGTAACTTGAATTTTATTGATCAAAAAATGAAAAGAAATCTTTTATTACGTGCATTGTTGATTAAATTTAGAATTTAATAAAGAATCCATTTACATGCATAGACATATATTTTTTCTATTGAAGAATATCATATTACATTTATACAAAACATTATATTTTTAGATACTATTTATTTTAAAAATTTTAAAACTAATTTTTTATTTTTAATATTTATAATTTTAAAACTTATTTATTACAAAATTTATCTATTCCCGTGCAACGCACGGGTGAAATACTAGTTATATTTTATAAAATATAATTTGTAAAAGATGCAAATGTGTTAATGTTTTCAGATATGAAGTATAGTATAGTATAAGGGTATCATAAGTTAAATTATTTAAAATTAATGTTGATCTATCATATAAATTATAAAGTATGATTATTTAAATATTCGTTTAGAATACAAATTCAAATCTTATTTTTAATTCGTCTCATATTCAGATTCGGACTCGTATTCAAAAAATTAAACAAATACAAATTCAAATATCTCAATATTCGCTTCGATTCGTTTACACCCCTACCCCCAACTAGTTTTTTTGTAATAAGGTGTAAAAAGAATTAAAAATTGTATATATACGTGCCCCAAACAAAAATTAATGTGACCCCATGTAATTAGCTCAAATAAAAAAAATTTGTTTAATTTTTTCAATGAAGTGTGTTTTACTGGATATACTTAATTCTTTATAAAATTTAAATTTCACATAACCTATTAAAAAATGTTTTACATTGAATAAATATTTGAAATAAAATTTATTATATTTTGTCATTTCAAATAGCCTATAAAAAAATTTCAAGGCGCTACCCTTGGACCAATGATGCCCTCCTAGATCCGCCAGTGGGGGAGCAACAAGAGAAGTGGATGGAGTTTTGTTAATTACTTTGAGGAATTCACTATAAATAGGAACAAAACATAATAATTTTTTTAAATATAGTACTATATGTTATTATTTCCCAATGTAGAACCATTGATCATTATTCATTAGTCATTATTCTAGTAATGTCCATGATCACTGAACATTATTATTTCTCTTACTAGGCATTATTAAATTCTATTTAGAAAAATATTTACACTAAATAGCATTAAAACTTAAGTCATTTTTCTAAATAGCACTTAAATTATTTTATTCCCTAAATAGCACTTTATAATGTCCATAATATCTAATGATGATCAATATTTATTTGAATAATGACTAAAAGTGCTACATTGAAAAAAAACACATGTGATGCTATTTAGGGAAAGTCATTTTGTTTGTGTTATTTACGTAAATTCTCCAATAAAAAAGTTTAACACTATGTTTGGTTCAAGGAATTTGAAAGGGAAAAGAAAAGAAAATGAAGTGGAAAACAGTTTTTCTTTTTTGGTTACAGGGGAAAAGAAAAGAAAAGTGGAAGGAAAAAAAAATGAGAAAACAAAATGTACCAAGTGGAGGGAAAATCAAATTCCTCCCATTTTGGTAAGGAAAATGAGAGAAAATCATTTTCTTTTCTTTTCCTTCCAAATTCCTTGAACCAGACATAGTGTAAATCTTACATTGAAAAATGACTTATGTTTTAAACCTATTTAGTGCAAATTTTTCTTTTTCAAATCACTAACTTTACCATCTAACACTGTTGAATATTTATACGGAGTACTTCCTCCGTCTCCCAGTTTTTGTTCACTTTTGACTTTTGGAACTGTTCATCTAAGCACTTTGACTCATCAAATTCTCTCAATGTGTAAGCCTAAATATAGTCATGTGTGATCTTGTTTAATTTGTCTTAACATATAGATTATTAATATATAAAATCTATAATTTTTTAATATACAAATTACAAGATAAAATGGATTAAAGAAGTGTATTGGATGATGTGTAAAAATAAAAGTGGACAAATACTCTGAAACGAAGGGAGTATGAATTAGGGGGGTGTATTCAATTAGAAGTCTGTAAGATTTTTTTGGACTTTAAGAAGTCGGTGGATTTAGAAAATCCATTGACTCCATGCAAAGTTTGGAAGACTCTTTTATTGATTTGCATGAAATTTTATATACTTGAAGAGATTTGTTTATTGATAGATGGATTTCATGTTTGTTCAACTTTATTGTTCATCCATATTGAATCAAGTACAAATAAAATAAGCACTACAGAATTCAAGCACTGCAAAATTTTTTTAAACAAGGACGGCAAAATCAAATAATCTAATAAGCACTACAATTCTGCAAATAAGCACTTCAAATAAGCACTGCAATTCTTCAAGGAACACACAAATACATAATGAATTAAAAACTCTCAAATACCACTAAGAAACACTACAGACTTGCGGAACATCCTGGTCACCAACATCCTCCAGCCATGGGACAGCGCAGCGCCCATCACCGCAAGATTCCAGACGACAATGCAGTCAATACTTGACACCAATGGGAACAATCTGGTTTCGATCCCACGATTTTCATCCCCGTCTTGCGACTCCCGAATATAACCCAACTGACGAATTCCACTCATCCGCCTCTCGCTTTTAGAACATTGCAGATCTTCCAGAACAAAGACAGGAAAGGAATGTTGATTGGGACTCTAGGTCTGCAAGGGGAGATCGAGGGTGGGGATGACCGGAGAAGATGAACCGTGCGAGAAGAAGAGAGAAAGATTCGGCAGATTTGGAGTCCAACAAAATCCCTAGGCTTTTGGTTGGATTTGAAAACAGAATTTTTATTTATACTTCAGGTCTAAAATCCTTCACAATCCATGTTTTATAACAATCCTTCAAAATCTATCGTTTTTTCAATATCATTAGATTTAGAAAGATTTTTTAAAATCTCTGTTGAATACCTAGAGATTTTAAATGATTTTTTAAAATCTCAATTGAATACACACAGACTTTTAAAATCCAAAAAAATCCTGCAAAATCTCGATTGAATACACCCACCTAAAAAACTTAAAAAGAAAACTACAAAATCGTTACTTTGTCGCATCTTGCCCAAGAGCATTCAGATGCTCATTAATTCAAGCTCCGAACTAGAATCCATCCGTTACCAATTCCATAGCTTCACATTTCTGGTTCCCAAACCACGGACAGGCCTACCCAATCCTGACCCCAATGGCACTCCCCAAACGTTATATACCTATATTGGAGTAGCAATAGGAGGTATGTCCACCAGAGAAGGAAACACACACACCCACACCCCCCCACACACACACACACACTTCACTGGTTGTCACTGAAAACCCGCCATTTTTTCTACTTTCTAGCCCCATGGAAGAACAAGCCATATTTCTTAGCCTCAGAAATGATCACGGTTCAAGTCGATTCAAGTCGATTCGAAAAAATTCAATGTAAACTGATAGTAGAAATATACAGAGGATACCAGTAAGGTCAGGCATACAGTATGGTGGATACAAGTAGCATACACTTTCATCAATCCTGCAAGTTTCAAAAAGTTTAATCCGTCAGCCAGTGCTACACCATATATTTTCTTCTGTCCAATAGGTTTCACGTCATCATTCAGTGGTCCCCTGAATATTTTCTGTGGCGGCAGGAGAAATAACTAA